CACTAGGTAACCAGAACATCAAACCAAACCCAACTCACTGCCATTGAGTCGGATCCGACTCATAGCGACCCCTTGTGGGGCTTCCAAGGTGGTATCACTACGGAAGTAGATTGCCCAACCTTCCTTCCAAGGAGTGGCTGGTAGGTTTGAACTGCCGGCCTTCTGGTTAGCAGTCAAACACCTTAGGCACTATGCCACCAGAGTTCCCCTGAGTGTATAAGAAACTGAAAAAAATGACCGTGAACCCATCAAAGAACAATTTTCATCAGCAGGGAAGGTGCAGTTGTAATTTTCATGTAGTGCCATAATGCGTTAAGTGAAAGATGAACAAGCTTGACTTCTACTTCTGAGCTGATATGGTAATGTTATCTACAAGATGGGTGTCAGCCGTCTGGACAGGAGTGTCATTTCTGTGCCTGCCACAGGTGTTACTTTCTGTAGATATGCCTGTCAATTGCTCCTCGACCCTAGGAGGTGGCTTAAATCTAATGCATTTGCTTGGCTGTGGGATACGTGGTGAGTGTGAAGAGCTTGCTCATTTAGTAAAACCTCCTGTGTGGTACTCAGCACCCAGGCATCCCACTTCATACTGGAAAATCATAAATGCCTACGGTGTCAACTCAGTTCTATAGAGAACTCCAAACACCACCACTCTAACCTTTTGAGTATAACAACTCCAATGGCCTTTTTTATATTCTCTAAATTTCCCCATGGAGTTCCCATCCCAGAAAGTTTCAGTAGTCTGCAATCAAATCTACCACTCTTCCACTGAGACGAGCTCCAATTTCTGACTTCTATGTTGATGTCAATGGCCCTACCCTCTCTCTGCCAGCCACACCCCAAACCTCAGACGTCATCTTTGAAGGCCCTCTCACATTTAATTGCACACCAAGTCCAGGCTGTTCTTTCAGCCCTGGCCTTCTTCAGTGGCTTCCTCATTAACACAGCTGTCCTGGGCGCCTCCTACAGGCCAGGCGCTCTGTGAGGGTCTGGGGTGCTGAACCAGACAGATAAGGGCTTGCCTCACAGTAGCCCAGTCTAGAGGGGAAGCCAATGATTGCACAGGCCACCACACCAAAGGGGAAAAACCCAGATGACGCAGGACGTCCTGGGCAGTACGGCATTCCTGGGCTAAGGAAGCAGCATGAACACGGCTGGAAAAGCAAACGCAGCCGGGGCACTTTTGGAACCTTAAGCATTTAGGTTAATTTTTATTTCACATGGTGGTGGTACTTGTTTCTAAGGAATTGCCAACATACCGCCTTTCTATTATAATCACTTCAATGGAACCATTTTAGAGCTTTAAGCAGTATTTGACAGTCACTTGTTCCAAAACATCCAAGATCAACCCTTGGTAAGTACTTGACAGTGGTCAGGTGGTAGGCATGCAAAGATAAAGGTAACAAGGTCCCAGCCTTCAGGAAGCCTACAGCCCAGTGGCAGAGGGGGGGCGGGGCATGAGGGGCAATGGGTGAGGTAAGCAGAAACTCATACAGAAAACACACCATGGTGTCCCTTTTGGCTCCAGCAGTGATTTCTGAGAAGAGTGGGGAAAGAGCCCTGGATCAGAACAAGAACATGGGCACTGTCCACGCTGTGTTTCCACAGGGCTTGACAAGATCGAACCCTGCTCTCCACATGCCCTCACTGTTATCCCGCCCCCTTCCTTTTCATGTTGACATCAGTTGTACAGGTCTGTGTGATGGACAAGCGGCAGAGTTACGAGAATTCCCAGGAACCGCTTCGGTACAAGTCAGTCCTCATTTCCTACAGAAGTGAAGGGGACTCACCCTCGCTTTCTCTGAACCCTATTTTTCCAGGCTTATCTTAATAAGCCAACCATTTCAAATAGCCTCTCTTCTCTTTTACCTTGGGTCCCCAAAACCAAATCAAACCTACCACTGTCCAGTTGATTCGAACTCATGGAGACCCTACAGGACAGAACAGAACTGCCCCACAGGGTTTCCAAGGCTGTAAATCTTTATGGACACAGACTGCTACATCTTTCTCCCACCAAGTGGCTGGTGGGTTTGAATTGCTGACCTTTCAATTAGCAGTTGAGCTCTTAATCATTGCACCACTGGTGCTCTTTCCTTGGGTCCCAAACGCCAGAATTTTCATCTTTAGCAAAACTCAAAGACCAACAGTGAGAACTCCTACCCAAAAGACTTAGGTATCCACTTACATATTGGAGGAAAATACCCAACAGCAAGAGGACAAAGATCAGTTCTGGTCATGCCCTCTGTGCAGATAAAACCAGGGCTAGAATTTCCTGACGTGTGTGGTCTTGGACACAGAGCCTCTCTGGGCTCCAGTTTTCTCAGCAGGAGGAAATGAGGATGCTGGGTAAGACTGCTTTAACCAGCAAATTGATGTTTTCTATACTGCTCTTACCACATGGCAAAAAAAATCAAACTAATAGTTAAGGGGATTTAAAAAAATACATATGTTTGAAGAATAATTTTCAACTTCAGTTCAACACTTGTGCCAAGTGTCATGATTTCATAAGAGCCTTGACTCATTTGAAAAATCATGGTTAAAATCTGACAGCCCAACATGTTAGGGAGTCATCATACCTGACTAGGGAAAATGTCACAACACTTAAGGTGCTCAGCACAAAACAAGAGCCTCAGAATAAAGTAGCCCTTGGCATGTATGACAGTACACTACTGAGAAAATGTTCCCTGTCATAGTATTTCAGAACTGGACCAAAACCCAAACCTAGTGCCATCGAGTTGATTCGCATTCAGACACCCTATAGGACAGAGCAAAATTGCCCCATAGGGTTTCCAAGGCTGTCAGTCTTAATGTAAGCAGACTGTCTCATCTCTCATGCAGTGGCTGGTGGGTTGGGTTTGATCCACTGACCTTTTGATCAGCAGCCAAGTGCATTAACCACTGCGTGCCCAGAGCTCCTTTCAGAATTGGAAGTAGGTAGATTCTTTCATCTAGTTCTACCAATTTATAGTCAAGATGTGAAGGGCACTCACAGCACCAGGTATGGCAGAGCCAGTATTAGCAGGTAGTTTTTCTACTTGCGACTTAGCACATGGGTTTCAAAGACGGTTACTGAACAAAGAGATGAGCTGACACCGAGTCTCTGAATACCCAGGTCCATTGAGAGAACCTCCCAGGATCCATTCTCCCCCCAAGTGCACGTTCTTGCTGGATGCTTTTGTAGAGGTTCAAGAGCATTAAGACTTTAATTTATTTAAAATAAAGTTGGGGAAAGGGATGAAGGAGCCTCACAAACAGCAAGGTAACTAGGCCTGAACACCTGCCCGAAGAGGGACCCAGTGTGCTCTTGACCTCTGTTCTCTCGGGCTTTTCATCTCCATTGCAGGCAACGACTTCATCCGGGAGCCAACAGCTCAGGTCTCCACAGCCAGGAAACCTGCCTCTCCAGATCCAAGAATTGCTCTTTATGAAGATTCACAGTAAAGAGAACTGCACTTGCTTCCTGGCTGTCCTTCACAGTCACTGAAGGCAAAGCTTGAAGGAGCATCCGAGACAGAGCAATCAGCTACGTTCCCAGAATGTCACAGTCTTTTGTTATGTTCCAGGCAGGAGCTCTAATGTCTCATTTAACTCTTATAGTAACTCCACATGGCAGTTCATCACTTCTTCTCATTTTATAGAACAGAAACAGACTCAGATGAAATGAATTTCCCAAGTTTACACAGCCAGTAAATGACAGTGTGTCATCTCAAGTCTTTACCTTTAGGACTCAAAACCTGTTTTTCCTTTATGCCATGCTGCCTCACACACCTCCTTCCAGTGCATTTAACCACTCACCTGGTTTGGACCTCATTCCATTTTAAGTGAGGGTGAGGTTAGCCACCAAGTGCCGTGAACTAGGACATGGTTTTGTTTCTAAAAGGTTTGCCAAAAGTTTCCTCATGAACATAGCTTCTTAAACAAAGAATTCTACTCTGTGATACCTTAATCAATTGCTCCTGACATCAATTAAGGAGCTCTGGCAATGGTTAAAGCATTTGGCTGCTAACCAAAAGACTGGCAGTATGAGCCCAACAGCCACTCTACGGTAGAAAGATGAGGCAGTCTGCTTCTGTAAAGATTTATAGCCCTGAGTAGGAATCAACTTGATGGCACTGGATTTGGGTTTTTTTTTTTTTTTTTTTAAATCAATATGTTACTGAATCGTGAAGATGCCTCATGACCTGAGATCTGAGGAGGAGTCACGAAGTGAAGTTCCAGTCACAGCTGTTCTTGAAAGGACACTGCATTCTACTGTGCTAGAAAAATGAACACCCAGACTCCTAATGTACAGGAGGTCTTTAAGAAGGTTCTGTACGCAGACTGTGATGGTGACTGCACAGCTTTGTGACTATTCTAAGCAAGGGAATTGTATGGTACGTGAATTGTATCTCAGTAAAGATGTTAAAGAAGAGGGAACACCCAGGAGATCCGATCACTTAACTTTCAATGAGGTAAGGAGAAAATAATTAAGGACTGATTTTCTTTACCTTTTGTTTTTTAAGGTGCTCCTGTGGGGCAGTGCGTAAGGCATTTGACTGCTAACTAGAAGGTTGGCGGTTCAAACCCACCAGCTGCTCTGCAGAAGGAAGATGGGGGCAATCTACTTCTGTAAAGATTTACCACCTTGGAAACCCAATGGGGGTCGCTATGAATCAAAATCAACTTGACGGCAGTGCTTTTTTATTTTTGTTTTTATTATGTGTATTACCCAAAATGTATGTAACTCCTACTATCAAAGTATTAGATAATGTAAGTCAACACCAACTTCATGAAACCCTATGAGCACCCAGATCTGTCAGTTCAATCAGGGGATGAGCAGCTCTACACAGGACCAATCACTGGGGCCTTTACATAAGCTTACAGACCACACACAACCCCACTCTCTGAAACGAATGATGCCCACTTCACAAATCGCCTTCTGGGATCCCATTTGACGGTGAGAGCAGGAGTTACAAGCATCTTTGAAAAATGCCCCCATCAGGAATTTAAAGCCTGCTTACCTCGTGACAAGGAACCAAGCAATCTTGCTGAAGTCTGGAGAGGGTCTCATATACGTCTTAATGTGCGGCATGGCATTGCTGCGGCCAGATGTCTCAGCTGACCACTTGCTAGTGACAGAAAAGACATGAATGATTAGAATATACTAACAACTGTCTCCTTAATACTAAGAAAAGGCATTAAAGGCAAAATTGTATAATTTAAAAGCCAGTGGGCACCAAGTTCTGTAACATGATCTGTGACATTTTATTCCACTGTTCAGATTATCAAAAATGCATGTTCTTTTTAGAATGTACAGGTTTATAGAAAAGGAAAATCACTCTCTAGCCAGAAAGAGTTACCTTTTGGCATATATCCTTCTGTCCTTCTTGTTGTCACACAAACATTCATACACATCCTATTTCTGCTGGGCCACGGCATGTGCACACATTTCGGCTTGTCAGCTGGTCAGTGAGGGCCTTGCAGGCAGGGACACCTCCCCCCACCCCCTTTCATGTCTCACAGAGTTTCTATAGTGGAGCCTCAGTAAAAGCTCTGTTGTTGTTGTTGTGTGCCGTAGAGTCGGACCTGACTCATAGCGACCCCTCCTTGGGTTTCCGAGGCAGTATTACTATGGAAGTAGATTGCCCAACCTTCCTTCCGGGGAGTGGCTGGTGGGTTTGAACTGCCAGCCCTCTGGTTAGCAGTCAAGTGCCTTAGGTACTATGCTACCAGAGCTCCTGGAAACACAAAATGGGATGAAGCAAACAGCTTGAATACCAACCACAGATGTGGGAAGGCAGGGTGAGAATTCAGACACGCTTTAGTCAAATGCTGATGGTGGCATGCTTGCGTTTGGTTTCTAAGTTTGCAACACTGAGGGAGTGAGGTCCCCTGAAGGGAAATCATCTATAGCACGAGGCAGCGATCCTTACATATGAATGTAAGACGGTCCCTCAAGATAACAGATCATCAGCCAGAACGGAATCAGAGGTTTACATTTGTGAGAATTCATTAATTGAATCTGAAGACCCAAAAAACCAAATTTGCTGACCTCCAGTTGGTTTTAACTCATGGCAACTCTATGTATCACAGAATAGAACTGCTCCCTGGGGTTTCCAGGCTGTAATCTTCATGGAAGCAGATGGCCAGCCCTTTGTTCTGTGGTGTCCTGGGATGGTTCTAACCACCAAGCCTTAGGTCACTCCAAAAACCAAACCAAACTCACTGCCATCAAGTCGATTCTGACTCACAGTGGGTTTCAGAGGCAGGAAATCATTACAGAAGTAGAGTGCCCAGTCTTCCTTCCATGGGGTGGCTGGTGGGTTTGAACCGCCAACCTTCTGGTTAGCAGTCAAATGCCTTAAGCACAATGCCACTAGAGCTCTCTCAGGCCAGTAGACAAGTGCAAACTGTTTAACGGTGTGCGATATAAAGAATATCCTCTGCAAGGCACAACCTCCCAAGGTGGCATTAAAGAATGGCTCCAGGATAACATCCTCAACTAAGGGTTCAAAGCCGATGAAATGTCAATCTGCCTTCATTTCCAAGAGGACACAGTAAACCCTGTTACCTGGCATTTTATTAACTCTAAGTCCAGGGTGGCCATAAAGACACCCAGGAGTGGGGACTGCTGGTCCTAAAGGTCCCTCTGAGTCAGCGAAGATCAATTTCGGTTCAGTCCATTATCTTGTTCTATGAGGTTCTCCTGTGCTTGTTGGAGAGCAGGGAAGCTCGGTATGTTGACTTTCCTATTGTAGGCCTGACCATCCTATATAGGGTTGCAGCCGCTCTGGGAGAGAAAGACCTGTATGTCACTGGCTTCTGACTCCTTGCACCTAACATGCTGTCCGGCACAATAAATGAATCCCTGCTGAGACAGCCAGGGAGCTGTGGTTGGCTTAGAACAAGAAGATGTGCAACTCCTCTAGCCAGAGGACAGATGAGATTCCTTCACCTGTCTATTCATCAACCGTTTACTGAACTCCTACAACATCCAAAGACAATCCCTTATCCCAGACAACAAGGGAGGTGCACCCAGCCTGCCCTCTCTGAACCTCCAGTCACACACCAAGTGAATGTACAGTCAGAATGATTTTATTTTCTATTTTGGAAACATGAACTAGAATGTTGCTTATATAAATTCTAAACTACCCAACAGGGTCTCTTGCTCTTTTATTTTTTTGCATGCCAATATTTAAATAGAAACCACAGAGGACAAACTGTACTTTTCTGGCATTAAAAAGCTATTGGAAAAAAATTTCCAAATCTTATTTTAAATTATTTCTATCACTAACATATGTAGATGAAAAAATAGAGTCACATTATATAAAGTCTTTTTAAAAACCAGACGGACACAAACAACGTCCTTGTTCTTTGAGCAGCCAACAGCAGTCAAAGCAGTTACTTACTGAAAGTAGGAGTGCAGCCAGAGCTGCTTCTCAGCTGTCTGGATGCCATAGGGAAGAGAGCCCCCGGCTGTAAAGAGAAGAGAAGAAAACAGTGAAAACATGGGATGACACGTGAGCATCTTCATGAAGAAAATCCACAGTCAACAGTGAGAAGGTTAAAAAACAAACAAAAAAGGTTATTTAATCTGATGGACTATTTCTCTGAATAAAAACACCTACATGTGCATTGGGCATGTTCTTTCAATGGGAGTCCCCTTTCTTCCAAACCAAAAACCAAACTCAATGCTGTCGAGTCAGTTCCGACTCATAGTGACCCCTCCCCTCCTTGGGTTTCCAAGGTGGTATCTGTATGGAAGTAGATTGCCCAGTCTTCCTTCTGAGGAGTGGCTGGTGGGTTTGAACCTCTAGCCTTCTGGTTAGCAGTCAGATACCTTAAGCACTATGCCACCAGAACTCCCCCGCTTTCTTAGTGATATATATGAAAGTGGAAATGTTTACTATCTGAAAAGGAAATGGTGATATTTAATCACTCTGTGGTGGTCACTGAGTATCTATTACAGTACAGATTTGAAGTGTTAAGAAAAGACCACAGAAAGAAGCCGGGCCCATCTTGCCATCCACATGCAGGTGACACATCTTTCAGCCTCTTTTTAAGATGGGGGCCTCTTCATTCTGCCCAGAAGTGTAACACCCGGATGGCTGACTGGGCTGAGCCCTCAGTTCCTCTACCTCCTTCACCTTTCACCCTGAACTACCCCCACAGACTCTGCATCACCTACACAAATTCTCACCAGTGAACAGGACAAGCACAGAGAAGAATCTACATGTTCAGTAAACAGCTGAGTTTTCAAAAGGAAATGCTAAACACCGGAGGCAGCAGAGACAGTAAAGATACAGCTCCAAGGGGAAACACAAATTAAAAGCCAATGTTCATTCTTCTTTGAAAGAAGGAAAATTCCACTGCAGATTCAGTGACCTCCGAAACACATGTTGGAACTTCCCCACAATAATCCATATGCAAAGAAGGTTTTAAATGTCTCTGGCATATTGAAAAAGGCATGTCCTGTCTTCTGTTGCAAATAACTAAAAATAGTTCAATAGAATTCAAGACCAGTTATAAGATAGTGTTTTATTGAAAATACCATGTTCTTCCCCATTAAAAATAACTTTGAATGAATGTAGCCTATTAGAGATACAGAAAGGAAAGACAGAGGAAAAACAGGACCATGTGTCTGACTCTCAGAGAAATGGTTTTAACTTCGCCATTCAAAGGCAAGAAACAGGCTAATATGGTCCAGACCCTATTGAGATTCTTCTGGCAGGACCACATCTGGCCTGAAAAGCAATAAATGCACCAAATGGGTCCAATTCAGATCATCCTGCTTTCAGCCATCAGCAAATGCCAATCAGACCCCCTTTCTCCTAGAGGCATATACCATTTGGCTTTTTAGTTAACTACCTCTTGACTACATTACTCAGGGCACTGCTGATCTCCAGAGAAAAGTGTAGTGCCCAGTACTGGCACACAGGAATTGGACAACAAGGCCAAAAGAAGTCTACAAAATAATCCTGGGCACTTACAGATGAAGCCCTTAGAAGAACTGACATAGCTACTCGGTTATAACAAAGGTTTTATCTAAATATTAAACCTAAGTTCTGGACCTTAAACATACCTGTATGCAGGATTCAAATCTGGAAGACCTGCCTAGTCCCTCAGAGAGAGCTCCTTCACCTGGGGGAGGGGAGGGGCGGCAGGAGGACGTGAGAGTATCAGAGAAAGGTGTGCAGTCAGTCTGCGTTCTGAAAGTCACTGATCTGCTGCGGAAGGTCCTGGTTTTAGCTGGAAGACTTGTCTGGACAAGTAACTTGTCGGTGGCAGAGTTGAAAACAGTCGCATAGGTGAAAATGAGAACAATCCTACGGGAGGTTACCATGAGGCTTAAACAACACACTCAAACTGCCCCACGGTGCAGTATCACCTTTGGAACACAGAAGCGCTCAGAGTGACCTATTTTCATCCAGTTAAAAGAAAACCACCTCCAAATTCCTAACCAATACTTTTCTCATCTCAAGGAGAAACATTCTTATCATTTGTTTTGAAAAAGTTTACCAGGGTAGTTCCAGAATTGTGATTGCTGTTGTCACACGTCGTTGAGTTGGTTCTGACTTACAGCCACCCTACATAAAACAAAACGAAACACTGCCCAGGCCTGTAGCCTCCTCACAGTCAATGCTACATCTGAGCCCATCGTTGCAGCCACCGGGTATGCACAGAATATATATGAAAAATGCCACTGAGACAGTCTCCCCAAGAATTACCAGGGTATCCTTCCAAGCTTGTCCGCACATTTTCCACAGAAGGGTAGATCTAAAAATAA